GAATTGTTATTGCAACATGTTGGTTCCATTCCCTGATGGCTTTGTGGTTTGGCTTGATCCAAGAAATTTGAACTGCCACAAAGGGACAGCTGGGGTTCTTGAACACATTGTCAGAGAGGCCTTCTCTGCAGCTGCAGGCAGCAGCCAGAGGACCTTGGAAGTGCTGGAGCTGGAGCTTTCAGCAAGGGATGTGAGGCCCAGGGGTCAGGTCAGAACTGGGACAGCCAGATTTAGATAGGAGCTGACGGGGAGAGGCAGGTAGCCAGGATTGAGTAATCCTCTTGGTGTTGGGGCCAGGGCCTAGAGGCTCCACTGTCAGCATTGTCCTTGACCCTGTCCCAGCTCCTTTGCATATGGCATGGATTCAGGGACCTTTCCTTAGGGCTGAGCCTCAAACCACTGGCAAGTGGCCTCTTGTCCCTGCTCTTGCCAGCCAGGGCAGCACAGGGCCTCAGGCTGTCAGAGTCCCCAGGGACCCTGGCATTCATTTCATTCATAACAGATGAAGACAAAGCCCAGAGGGCTGGGTGGTGGTGGTGCTGAACCTGGCATCCTGTGTTCAGACACTGTCATGCTCTCTCCCTGACACCAGAGCTGGAAGGATTGTTAATGGTTCACTCAGTTAACAAAGGAATACCTCATCTATAATCCAGTTCAAGAGAGAAGAGGGCAAATTTCATTTCAGGTCTCAGGCCCAGCCCCCTGCTTTACTTGGAGGGGCTTCTTACAGGCATCAGAGGGTAAGAGAACACCAGGATGGAGTCATATCCTCCGTCCCCTGAAATCTTTTCTGGGATATTTTTCAATTAAGTTTCACCTGAAATTAACCTCACATACCTGAACTAGGAACTTAAAAAAAAATTCTATTAAGAGTTTATTATAAATTTGTTCCACAGGCCACAAGGAAATAAAAGGACTCTGTACAGCCTTACAGGAAACAGGCAGGGAGCTGAGGAAGGCCAACATGAATCTTGGGCCTTGGTGAGCGCATTCCTGGGGGTAGGTAGGGGGGCCCTGTAAGGGAAACTGGACTAGGAACTTTCTAAACCTGGTTCTTGCAGTGACTTGTCATGTGACTCTAGGGAAATCACTTTCTGTCCTTGTTTACCTTCTGGCTAATAAGAGGATGATAGGTTAATCTCATCCTTTGAGGCCCCAGGTGAGGAGAGCAATGCTATCTGTGGATAGAGGCGAGAGCCCTTTCTTTTGTTTATGTTTGGTTAAGTGGGCATTGCCTCTACTGCCGGTGTTATCCCCTCAGGGACTTGGGGGGCAGAGCTGGGGGAGAACGTGTGTGCACATGTGCAATTTTATCTGCACATTATTTTTTCTCTCTGCAATTTCAGGGTCATGCTGGGGCAGCCCGGCACCTGACAAGTGAGGAGAACCTGCCAGGGGATTACTGCTAGCAGGAGCTAACAGCAAGACGGCAGGACAGCAGAACGGCTGGCCTCTGGGGAGCGGGGATGGGCAGAGCAGCCTCTTAGTCAAGGCCAGCAGCACCAGGAAGGAGGCCTGGGCCCTGGCTGGGAGCTTGGCACACACTCTGCTGACCCAGATGACCCAGACTTCGTTCAAAGCAGCACCCTGCTGAGCAGCAGCTGTGCTCAGGCCCCAGAGGACTCCATTGCAGCAGGAGCTCTACAACGCCTTATAAAACTGCAGTTGGGGCTGTGACCATCTGGAGAAGGGGCCTATACTTCGATGGGAAGCAGAAGGACAGAACCTAATGCAAGGAGGATCTTGGTCTCTGCAGCACAGTTTTGTGACACCCACAGAGCATCCTGGTTTCTTCTCTCAGGGTTGGGGCCTGGCTCCCTTCCCCTGGCAGAGGGGTTGGGCCAGGGAGACCATCTGAGGGGTGGATGCCTCTTGCATGGAATCAAGGCTGCTCGAAGCCCACATGTTCTCTGTTGTGATTGGGGTTCAAGGGCTTCCCTGCTGCAGGGGACGAGGGGCTGCCTCAGCATCTGCTCATGAACCACAAGGACCCCAACTTCTCCAGACTGGACCATTTCAAGCCACCAAAGAGGGGGGTCCCCAGAGCTGGCAGCCTGCAACCCCAATGGACTAGACAGCTGGGATGGACTGACCTTCCTCTTGTCAGGGCAGCGGGAGAGGCAGAGCATCTGTGGCCCAGCTAGTGACAGAGAGACCCAATGAAGCCAGAAGCAGGAGCCCAAGTGGCTCAGGGACAGGGGAGCCACTCCTGCCCACGTGCTTTCTCCTTAGCTTGAGAGAGAGCGTGGCCTGGGACCCCTGCTGCTGTCCCCTCTGCAGCACACGCCTTTATGCCCCAGAATAGGCAGGCTACGCTGTGGCTGGCCTGCTAGTAGGCTGGGGAAGGAGTGGCCACAGTGATACCCGGCTACCCGCCGGGCTGGTGGCCCAGCCTCCCAGGGCTTCGCACCATGAAGTGCTCCCTGCGGGTGTGGTTCCTCTCCGTGGCCTTCCTGCTGGTGTTCATCATGTCACTGCTTTTCACGTACTCGCACCACAGCATGTCCACCCTGCCCTATCTGGACTCGGGGAACCTGGGGGGCACCCACCGGGTGAAGCTGGTGCCTGGCTATGCTGGCCTGCAGCGCCTCAGCAAAGAGGGGCTCAGTGGCAAGAGCTGTGCCTGCCGCCACTGCATGGGCGACGCCGGTGCCTCTGACTGGTTTGACAGCCACTTCGACAGCAACATTTCCCCTGTATGGACCCGAGAGAACATGGATCTGCCCCCTGATGTCCAGAGGTGGTGGATGGTAAGAGAGCCATGGCGCCTGCTGCCTACCTTTGCTGTTCCTCTCCAGGGATCTGCCCCACCACCCCATTTAAGGGTCACTCTTAGAGCCCCCTCTTGGATTTCGGCTGTCTGTCTTCTGACCCCTAGAGTCTCGACAAAGCAAGAGGCCCATTGAACCAGAGCCAACTACTAGGATCGCAGAATCTGAAGGGCAGAGTGAGCTTTGGCCTGGAAGGAGAGAGATCTAATATTCTCTAGTGCCTATAGGGGCCAAGCATAGAACAGAAATGCCTACTGGGCCAGGCAGGTGACACAGATGAGAGAAGTGGTCCAAGTGAGAAAATGGTGAGAAGTGAGGACCATGACAACAGGGTTCCCGGGTTCCAGTGGTGGCCACCTAGGGCCAGAACAGGACTGCGGACAGAGCTAGACCTATTGGGCTGGCCAGGCCTCTTGCCCACAGGGTTGGAACTCGGGGCTGTTTAAGCACCAAGCATGTTCCTCAGCTGAGACGTAGCAGAAGTCGATTTTCCCC